GTGTGAAACAACAAACTGACGATTTATATATTATCATTTGTAATTGTATATACATTGTTGTGATTAATTGTGGCTGGAACAATAATGTAGCTGTAAAAATAGTTGCCTGCTGAAATTGAAATGTATATACATCTTCATCATGACTAGATAGACACGGTGAGTTTGTCTTTACTATACACGTTAGATGTGATCACCTCATAGTAACAATCCTGTCAGATCGTCCATCCTTTGAGTGAGAGTGTAACGTTACAGGTCGGCCGATCTGGTTTCGTGGTTAAAGTTAACCTTTTCGACATGTTTCCGTGTTGTCCTTGCTCAGCAAAAGCATGGACGCGATGTTGTCTGGGGGTTTGGCAAAAGGAGAGTGGGACTGTGGGCGGTGCTCGGGGTGGTGACTGAAGGCTGTGTAGTTCTGACGTCAACTTTTTACGGAAGTCACAACGGTTCGTGAAAAATAGCTAGAACTTTTAGCAGGCTGTGTGCATTTTACTGTGGACTGACTGTTTTGAAACTTATATGGTAGTTAAATAGCCCCTAGACCTCAGTAATCGTGAAAAAAGCCAGGAAATTTCAGTTTTGACAATATGGGACCTTTAATTACTATATTATATTATATTATATTATATGATTTTGCTTCACAAAGGACGTCTTCCACTATATTAGAAGCTATATTGCCATTTGCAATCATATGATTCTGGATGGTTACGCCTCTGCATTAATTTTGAAACCTGAGCTAATCTAAAGTATGTTTCTAAGAGGCTGTAAAACTGTAAAGCCACTTTTTTCATTTGGTCACAAATAAAACAGACACCACACATAAAAACTGGCACCATAAACACATACACACACAAACACACGCACACACACAAACACAAACACACACTTTTTCATGTCTCTCAGTGTTGTTATTGTCAACTAAATCTAAAACAAAAATATGAAAAAACATTTTGGGTAATTGAAACTAACTTAAATCAACTTAAAAAATAGAAAAGTTATTTTGGTGATTAAGTAAATCACTAAAACTGAAACTGAAATAAAAATAAAAGCTATGTAGAAAACTACAAAAAAAACTATAAAAAACTCTGAAAATATAAAAATAAAAGCTCATTTAAATTAAATTAAACTAAATTAAATTAAATTAAAAAAATACATATATAAATAATACTAAACACTGGTTTCTCTTAACTCCATTGTAAATGTCATGTAATAAAGCCAAACCTTCAGCACACATGAAAATGTTCAGTGCAAACAATAAATGATTTCACAGAATTCCATCTTTCATGCTGGACACTAAAAACCAAAACACTTTTGCAATCTCTCCTCAGTGCCGGGCACACATTGAACAGGAAATGATTGTCAGGACATCAGCTGTGTGCATCACTTGCTCTTTCACTCTCGCTCTCATTCTGAATCCTGCTCTGTGGATGATGTTACACTTCACTAGTCTCCAGCACAACGTGACTTCCTGGTTGCCTAGCGACCTGATCAGAGTGAAGCTGGTGGCGTGGGTGGAAGCAGTAATGTTGAATCCTGTGAGTGACACACGAGCTCCACTCAGCAGCTGTGAAATGAGACTGAGAGCTGGTCTTTACTGCGCTGTGTGTGTGTGTGTGTGTGTGTGTGTGTGTGTGTATACGGAGAGAGCTGGACTGAGCTAACCTGTGAAAGCATGTGAGGTAAGCCAGTTTAACACCCTAAACATCTTTCTTTTACTCTCCTCTGTCAAGGGACCCAACAACACACACACAAGCACACACACAGGGTCCAGAATCAACCACAAACTTTCTGTCATTTTATAAAATAGGTATGATAACAGAAAAATAAAAGAAAGACAGACAGGTAGATTTTCTATAAGACAAAGCACATATTTAGTTGTTTGGATCGTATACTAATCATGATGAGAAAATATTGCTTTTGTGCCTCACATTTTCATGTTGGTGTATCAAAAACAGAGCTCTAGCAAGACAAGAAATCAAATATAAGAGATAAAAAAGATAAAGCTCTGAATGCAGAGGCAAAAGATATGCCACAGTTACTGATCTTTTCTACAGCAGACCATTTGTGTAGATTCACAAACAGCAGCAGGACTCAGACGGTCATTCTTACACTGCATTCTTAGCATTCTTAGATTTACACCATGAATTGTGTTAGAATTGCTGAAAAAGGCACCAGTCAACAGGCCAATATGGCCAACATTCTATTCACTCTTTTGAAGAGAGAGACAAAAAAAGAATAAGGGCGGAAAAAAAAAAAAAGTTTAAATTTGCACTTCCTGCTAACTGGAGTACACTAACAAATTTGATCATTTGTATAATTTGATTGATCATTTCACATTATTAAATCTCCAATGTATCAAAAATGCTTCACCAAAACCAACATCACAAATCCCAGCTGGTCAGTGTTTAGTTAGTGACTCTTAAAGGAACTTAAATCACCTGTCATTTTAATGGTTGTACTTTGTCACATAAACTTAAGTGCTCTGTAGGGCTGGGCGATATGACGATATTATCGTATATCGACGATGTCTCGTAAGTATCGCGATGTTGATGTCAACAGTCAGGTAACAGACAATTATCGACATTATCGGAAAAAAAATGACAAATGATCACTCTTTTGAAGAGAGAGACAAAAAAAGAATAAGGGTGGAAAAAAAGAAAAAAAAGTTTTAAATTTGCACTTCCTGCTAACTGGAGTACACTAACAAATTTGATCATTTGTATAATTTGATTGATCATTTCACATTATTAAATCTCCAATGTATCAAAAATGCTTCACCAAAACCAACATCACAAATCCCAGCTGGTCAGTGTTTAGTTAGTGACTCTTAAAGGAACTTAAATCACCTGTCATTTTAATGGTTGTACTTTGTCACATAAACTTAAGTGCTCTGTAGGGCTGGGCGATATGACGATATTATCGTATATCGACGATGTCTCGTAAGTATCGCGATGTTGATGTCAACAGTCAGGTAACAGACAATTATCGACATTATCAGGAAAAAAATGACAAATGATAAACCTAGTAAGTTGCAAAAAATACTTTACATAGCCCCATAGTCACCATACAGGTCTTTTTGCATGCAAGAATGAAACAATATAGTAGGAGGGTTGGGAATCGAAAAGCTATTCCAATTT